TTACCTTGGGTTACCCAGGTGCACCCCGAGTCCAGCGACCATGTCCAGTGTCCACCCCAGTATCCTTATAAAAGACACGGAGAAGACAGCAGAGGTGGAGAGATGCGGCCACAAACCAGGGTCTCCCCAGAACCTCTGCAGGGAGCTACGACCCTGCTCACCGCATGATTCCAGACTCTCGGCCTCCAGAACACGGAAAGGATAAATTTCTGTTGTTTTAAGCCACTTAGTCTGTAGTAATGTGTTATAGCAACTGTAGAAAATAAATACTCCCCTTAGCAAAATATCTTTGCGAGCACCTCCCTTTGATAGAGCTCTTAAAGGCAAGACCTGCAAACCTGGACATTATGGCCTGGGAAGAAAGTCTCTCTGTTGGTATATTGAGGACCCTGAGTTCCAGAGAAGGGAGAATCTACCCAGAGTCAAGAGCAAAATAAAAGAGAGGAAATAAAAGGTGATAGGAAAATAAAATAATGACAGGAAAGTAAAAGTTATGTACTGCAAATGTGGGTGAATAAAAATAAAAATTAAAATAATAAAAGATAATTCAGAGGGGGAAAGAAAGGCCTGCTTCCACAGTCCAACACACGGAGGGCTTTACTTCCCCACAGGACCCTGGGGCTCAGCCTCTGTGATATCAGGAATGGGGGCTCAGCAGGTGTGGCCAGGTCCTTCTTACGACCTGGGCTTTCATGCTGTAAGGGTTCTACTCCAGGCCTCCCTTTATTTTTTAGTTTGAGACAAGGTCTCACTAAGTTGCCCAGGCTGGCTTGAACTTGAAGTCCTCCTGCCTCAGCCTTCTGAGTTGCTGGGATTCCAGGTATGTAGCATCATGCTTAATGGCAATGAAGTTTTTCAGAATACTAAATTTATAAGATCGGAATCATATCACTTCCTTTTATGTAGATTTTTTTGGGGGGTACCGAGTCTTTTGGGTAGATTTAATTAAGTTTTATATATATTTTGAAAGAGGGTCTCCCTCTGTAGCTCAGAATGGCCTGGAACTCACAGGGATTCTCCTGCCTCAGCCTCCCTCCCAAGTGCTGGGCTTACAGGCCTGTGCCACCATGCCCGACACAAGTTTACCTTTTAACCCTTGGATAGGAAGTTTCACACAGAAGATGGTCAAGGTGTAGAGTAAGATAAGCAGGGTGAGTGCTGGTCCATGGTCCCTGGGGCGTCTTCCAGACATCTTGGCTCTGGGCCTGTCTAGGTAAGGGAAGGTCGGGAAATCATTTTTAAGATCTGCCCTGGGTCAGGCATGGAGCTGGGCACGGCTGGGCCTAGTGTCCTCTAGGACTCGGAAAGCCAGGAGGGGCCGGGTTACAGACGGCTTTGCTCTGTTCCCCTACCAGCAGCCCGCACCTGGGAGGCCACTGGGGTGTTCCTGCCTCTGAATTTCTGCCTCAAAGCAGACTCTTCCCCAACCCACACCCTCTGGGTCTGTTTGTGTGGCCCAGAGCCAGCGGAGTGGGACAGGCAGGCTTCAGTCCTAGGCCAGCAGGAGATGACCTTGCTGCGTGATCTTTGTCCCACCCAGGCCAGGGCACCTGGTGGAAAGGACTCTGGTCCTTATTGCACCAAATACCTGGGGAAGGGAGGAGCCACTTGAGCACATCTGTATTTGATTGAAACAAACAGCACACAGGCTGCACAGAGCCCAGGATGCAAATGTTCAGAATGGTTCCTTCCCAGCTGATTAGACCATCATGAAATGTCAGTGAGCCCAGAAAATATCCGGGAGTGGAACCAGCTCCCTTGTAATCTCCTTCAGGCTGAATTTCACAACAGACGCTGCCGGTGGTGGCGAGGACTAATTGCCTCCGTCTTCAGCCTTGGAGCAGCCTTAGAGCTCCTCCAGGTACCCCGCCAGGAAAGGAGAAGGCCTCCAAGACCAGAGCCCGGGTCTGCAGATCCAAGAGCTCCTGTCAGCGGAGCCCAGGTCCAGCTCCCTGTCTGCCACCGCCGAGATTCAGTGTCTCAGAGGATGGTGGGAGCGCAGCAAAAGGACAGAGGAAGGCTGGTGCGGTCGTGCATGCGCATAATCCGCACTCTGGGAGGCCAAGGCAGGAGGACTGCAAGTTCCAGTCCTGCTTGGGCCGTTCAGCGAAGCCTTGTCTCAAAATGAGAAATGAAAGGGGCTGGTGATGGAGCTCTGTGCTAAGTAAGGCACCTCTGAGATCGATGCCAAGTATCACAGAAAAATAAGAAGACACGGAAGGCAGCTTGAAAGAGTACCCATTTGTCAACTCTGGGACCATCCATTTATCCAAATAGGAAATGATAGTAAAGGACCAGAACCACTGAGTAAAACAGGACCGATATGTCCATGGTGGTGTGAATAAATGAGTGGAGAGAAGAAAAAGCTTTGCCCCCTCACAAATAAAGGCTAGTTTAGAAGAGTGACCATTCAGTAACTGTCAAGGCAATAATTAATCTAGCCAAGAAACATCTGTCTGTTAAAACTAATGGATGAAGGCCGGCTGTGGCAGTGCACTCGGGAAGCTGAGACAGGAGGATCACTGTGAGTTCAAGGCCGGCCCGAACTACACAGTGAGACCCTGTTCAAAACAAACAAAAACAAAAAAACACCTAGTGGATGAAAATTTAACACAAAGCAGAAAATTTACAGACTCAGGATACCTTTACCCAGAGTACTTATTTAATACAGAGGGGAAAATAGTAATTTTACAATGAAAAGCCCCAACAAACAGCATCTCAAATGAATGATCCAAGTGGATATCACAACAAAGGTCAAATTAAAATCACTGAGAACACAGCATCATTTCTGTGATGTCCCTACCCAAAATCCATGACCTAAATCTAATCGGGAGGAAACTTGAGACAAATCCAAATTGGGGGGCCCATTCCATGAAATAATCATTGCATGCTATTCAAAAAGTGTCAAAGTTCTAAAAGTCAAGGGAAAATTGAGCAACTATTCTGAGTGAAGGAAATGAAAGAGACAAGACAACTAAATTCAACAGATGACCCTTTTGCTATAAAGACACCATTTGATTTGTTGATGAAACTTGGCCCCTGAGGATTGTGGGTAGCAACATTTCAGTGTGAATTTCCTCTTTTTGATGACTGCATTGAGAGTCTGAGTGGGAATGTCTTCGCTTGTAGTAGTTACACACTATATAGGAATTACATAGTGTTTGGACTCAGGGGAAGTGTTCCTCATTCTACTTTTAAAACTTGTTTTCAGGACGAAATTATTTCCAAGTAAGCAATTTTAGAAAATGCCCCGATGCCACCATGTCAAAGTTGTGACTATTAAATATATTTTTGACCCTTCTTCTAAAAAGTAGACTTTGTTTTCAAGGATGTGACAGCCACATATCACAGGAGGCAGCTCAGGGCCCTGCCAGACAGCCTCATTTGTAGCGAATGTCTGTAGATCCGCGTCAGTGCCCCAGCAGTGGTCCCTGGTGACACCCAGTCATGAGATAAGAACAAGCTTTAGTTAACTGCACCAACTTCCTTTTACCTTTGCATCTGATGCAGTCAATGAAAAATTTTTCCGGGAAAAAAAACAACTTAAGGTATTGAAATAACTTTCATTTAAAAAAACACTTTAGTGAATGCTTTTTAAAAATCTGAGCTGGGCATGATGATACACACCTGTAATTCCAACACTATGGGAGGCTGAGGCAGGAGGATCACCCGCCAAAACTGTCATTAAACTTAATGCAACCTGGGGATGACAGAAGAGAAAGAAAATCAAGTCTGTTGGTGACAAGAGGGCTGCAGTGGGCACCCCCTTCCTGTTTCCTTTGTGACAGATAAATACTGTCTGCGGACACCAAGGGCTCTCTCTGCGTGCTGGCCCTAACTTGGGCTTCTGGCCCCTTCCCGCCTTCTTTTTCAACGAGCGCAATGCCTGGAGGCTGCTTGGAGTATTTGACAGCACTCCAAGGACCCTGCCATGACCCTCCGTTCTGTCCAACTGGAACGGGCCGTCCCCAGTTCACGACCCTGCTGTGTTCCAAAAGTTCTGGTTAATATGATCACTTAGAGCTTGGAAATAAGACCACAAATTGCGGTTTGGTTTCTCAGGCCCCAAACTCCCCATAGTGTGTAATGTTCACTAAATGCACACAAGTAGCATGGGCACAACTGGGAATGACAGCAGGGAAAAGGTACTGTGTGTTCAGCATGTTAACGTATCACCAAGCTTTCACAGGCTCAGAAATCCAGCCAACACGTCTACCTCAGCCACTGGGAGGAAGCCAGCTGAGTCCCAGCGGCGCCCAGGCTCTCGACCTGCTCCTCCTCATCCCACAGCTGGGGCTCCGTCACACCCACTCCCCGCAGGACCTCCTCCCTGCCAAATGCGGGACACCCTCCTCTGCTTCTCCCAGAGGCCGCCCCGTGTCACCTCCACAAGGGCTCACACACAAAATGCCTAGTTTGTCATCAGAAGGCTAAGGTAGCACTTTCAGGTGACAGCAGCGAGTCAGGTGCTCATAGTTCAGAGACACCGTTCACAGAAGGAATGCACATTGATGAGCGGTTTCCTCCCTTGGATTTCTGGTGTGGACAAGAACATGGTGAGGGGCTCGTGACAGGCCAATCTCAAATCAAGCTTGACTCTGTCAACGTGATCAGCTTTGGGTTCCACAGTGGGGACGGGTGGAGCACACCTCAGGGAGTGTCTGAGTGGGTCAGGGGGGCGTGGCCTTGGGGTCTGTGCTTGGTCCTTCACCCCATCCTCCCTGGCACTGCTCCCCTGCTCACCTTCCGGGCCACCATGAAGTGAGCAGCTTTCCTTCACGCCCTCCCGCCATGATATTTCTGCCTTGGAGCCAACTGACCATGGACTGAATCCTCTTAAAATATGAGCCAAATTAAACCTCTGCTCAAGTTGGGAGTTGTGGGTGTTGGGAGTTGTGTCCCAGAAATGGGAAGGCTCACTATTATACCTTTCTCCATAGTTGTGGAACACAGGCCTATACACACTTACGACACTCTGATCTTGCTGTAATTTTGGTCTCTCTCTCTCGCTCGCTCTCTCTCTCTCTCTCTCTTTCTGACACAACATACACATACGCACACACAGTCTCGTTGAACACAGAAAATGTGACATTGGGACAAAAAGCAAGTCCTGAAAGTAAAGTATTTAGGGGAGCAAATATCATTTTTCATTTACCACTAAACGTGTATTTCATTTAGGTCAGTCTCCTAGTGATACTTGGTGAAATTATTTTATTTAAAACATCTGTGGAATATTCTATTTATCATAATAATGAGGAAAAGGAACAAAAAGAAAAGAAAGAAGGCGTAAGTATCTATTGGAATCAACCCATTGCTGATGCCGCATGTAGCTATAAACTTATTAGATATGACATGATTTAACTTTCAAAAACTGGTAAGACCATTGATGGTATCAAGGGTAAACATGTCCTTGAAATCCTTATTCTGTGATAGAAAAACAGAAAGGATGGCAAATCTGTCTGTATTCCCTCTGCATGTTCTTCAAGACAGTTTATAAAATAATCTCAGACAGGGTGTAACATTTGCCAGACAGCTGTTCTAGGGAATGCCAAGATGATAATCCTTGGGTCCATCATAGTCTTTTGCATTTTTTCCTCTCTTCAGTGAATTCTGGGTCTGGGCCAGTATGGAGACAGACACATGTTCAGGAAGTTCCAAAAGTCTCTAAGGAGATGTCATTTTCCTTGAGGTTTTTTATTTACTTATTTTGGGTTTGTTGTTGTTGTCATTTTTGTTTTTTTGAGATAGGGTCTTGCTATGTAGTTCAGGCTGGCCTTGAACTCACTATGTAGCCCAGGCTGGTCTTGAACTCACAGCAATCCTTCTGCCTCAGCCACCTGAGTGCTGGGATCACAGGCGTGCACCACTGCACCCAGCTCCTTGAGCCATCTATGCCTGTTTTGCTGACCTTTGTGAGAAAGCAGCATCTTGGCAAAGCGATTCACCTGCTCCTGAAGTTCACCAGCTCAGGACGAACCTGGTCCAAATTCCCTTCCAACCCGTGAGATGTCTCCCATGGAGAATGGACGAAACCTCAGACAGGAAGCCACAGACTGGTTGGTCTTAGAGCCCGAAGTCAGCTCCAGGTCACATGGCCTGGCATCGTCCCTTCTGATTGATTGGTCACCATCCCTGTCCAGCACAAATGAGTTTTATAGAAAACTAAACTCTTTCTACTAAGAAACATGTTCAAAGTCTCATGGATATTTCAATACATGCAATAAGGTTAATGAAAGAATTTTGGACAGGAAAAGAAGGATTCTGTGCATTTACACAGACCTAGAAACAGCCTGAGGCCAGCCTTCCCGTCAAACCTTGCAGGGCCAGTTCTCTGATGCCACTGCTCCTAAATCTGCATTCTTGGCCACAGAATGAAGAAGACCATGAGTTGCCATGGAGACAGAAGCCAGGAGTAGTGGTGCACACCCATAATTCCAGCACTCAGGAGGCTGAGGTGGGACAAGAATCCAAGGCCAGCCTGAGCCTCGTAGTAAGGCCCTGTCTCTAAAACAAAGCAAACCAAAAATGACCCAGCGGCAGACGCACTTGAACACAGCACCTGGGAAACAGAGGCTGGTCGCAGGCAGAGGCCACAGGAGGAATGTCTGAAGCTACTCAGGTCCTGACTGATGTGTGCCGGAAGCCAGATCTCCAGCCCCGGGAAATTGTTTCCTCTTGTCATCAGGCTTTCTCCTCAGCTCCCCAGGGAAACAGGTGAATGTATCAGCCAGCTCGGGCTGCTAACAGCATACCACACCCGGGGTGTCTCACAGATGGAAGTGGGAAGTGGGTCTCTCCTCTCTCTCCATGCGGTTCTGGGGGTGGAATCAAAGGTCAAGATGTGGCAGGGCCAGCACCTCCTCAGGCCTCCCTCCTGGGCTTGCAGATGACGGGCACTGTGTGCTGCATCCTCACGCAATCCTCCTCCTCTGCTGCCTTCCTGGTGTCTCCTTTGGGTCCAAGTCACCTCCTGTTATAAGGAAGGACATGGATCAAAGTGACCTGACACCACCTAAATGGCCCCATTACACTTAATCATCCAAATACAAGGGCATTCTGCAGACCAGGGGTTAGGACACAGCCAGTCCCCGGCAGTGAGAAAGTTCTTTTCAAAATAGGGTGAGAAAACTCCCAAATTAGTAGGAATTCAGAGTTGTTTGAAAACAAGCCGAATAAGAAGCAGGACGGAATTCACAGCACTGCCCAGGGCCCGGAGCGCCTCAGAGGGAGAGCCCTGCGGAGGAGCCCAAGCCTGCCTCTTCTGCCCAGAGCTCTAATCCTTCAGTGCTGTCTCCTCAGAGAGGAGGCCGGGAGTGGAGACCAGGGTGCTGGATGCGAAAGAGCGGCTCATTTTCAGTTTTCTAGTAGCCATGGTAAAATTTTTAAAAAATTAAAAATTGGGAGAATTAACTTTAAAATGTATCTAATCTAACTCTATGTGTTCAAAACGTTATCATTTCAGCCTGTGATCCACACTAGACAATTCTTAGTGAGCTGTTTTACCTTTTTCTGGCTGTGCTGCCGCCAGGCTCTGGTGACTATTTTATGCCTCGTTTCTGTGCCCAGCAGCCCCATGGGGTGGTGGCTGCCACACCCCACTGTGCATCTCTAGGTCTCCTTAGGTCATCAGTAGCAATCAGTGCTGGTTACAGATCTCCTGGAGCCCTGCCAGCCAGAGACAGGAAAAGCCAGCTCTACCACTGCAGCAACATGGGCTCGCTCCTGTCACCTGTCCGGACAGAAGTCACCCGACTGTGCTGCTAATCACAAAAAGCTCCACCGGTAAGGCTTCCCAGGAGGAACACGCCTAGCGTTGGCATCTCCCACGAATGCGTGACACCTGCGTCTGTACTGAGTCCGTCTCCCCCAGTATCACCCTTGAGAGGTAGAAGAAATCTGAGTTCCACAGTGTTGGCAAGGTAGTGAGATGTGGAGGATTTCATAATTGTTCTTATGACCTCAGGTCTGCATAAGCAGTACATGGGGTGTTGACATGTTAATGTATCTGGGCATGTAGCAAATGAACACTTATACAAACTGGATGAATGAATGAATGAAAAATAAGAAACTGAATTTGTTTGAAATTCCCTAGAGGGTGCTAGGCAGGGCAGCTTCTGCCAAGGCCCAAGCTTCTCTTACTTGCCTGGAGTGGGGATTTCTAGAAAGATCCTAGAAAGAGCCCCTGCACCCCAAAGCAATGGAAGTAACTGGTTAGAAGGAAGCTACTTATGAGAGAAATTGTCTACCTAGTGACCATTTTTACCCTTGGAGATGAATCCACTTTCCATATTTCTGGAGGGGATAAATTATTCAAAGGATCTCAGACCCTGGATGGTCAAACTAAAGGAACCACGAATGCTGGAAACCCTTCACCTCCGTGAACTCAGTCCCCAGCAGGTCCTCTGACCTCAGCCCCATCTGTGCAGTCCCGGGTGCCACCTCCACAATCTCTAGGGAGAGCCAAGTAGGTGCCAGCCCCAGCACCCTACTCTGGGGCCTCTCCACTTCCCATGGATGGAGCACTGCTCTCTAACCCCTCCTTTGTAGAGGTGGGGCTGGGGTCTGGAGTCTTGTATTCCAGGACCTTGGTGGCAGCTCTGGGTCTGGTCATGTGCCATCTGACTGTGCTACCTCTGGGGACCCTGAAGGATTTCTGCACCCCTTCCTTAAAAGAGGTCATCACTCACCGGGGAGACACCAGAAATGGGTGCACAAACCTCCATGTTTTCAGCCTTCAGGTTCTTTCCTGAGCCCCTCCATCCAATCCATCAGTTGCCAAGCTTTTCAACTTAGCAAGTTTCTCTGCCTCAGTTCTTCAGCCAAACAGGGGAGGTAACAATGTAACTTAGACATCCCGGGTACCAAAAAAACCCAAAAACACCCCAAAACAAAACAATGTAATTTAGAGAAGAGAAATGATAACATAACTTATTCCTGGGCTTGTTATAAAAATCTAAAAGGTTACATTGTACAAAGTGAAGCACAGTGTTTCACAGTAGCCCTCCATAAAATTTTGGATCTTCATAAACAGCTCCTAGCTTTCTTCCCCTCCAGAATCAAAATGATCTGTTAAAGTAGGCATAGTGGTGCACACCAGTAATCCCACTACTCAGGAGGCTGAGGCAGGAGGATCGCCGAGAGTTCAAAGCCAGCCTGAACTACATAAGTAAGACTGACTCAAGAAAAGAAAAAGGAAAAAAATTGCTCTTGCTAAAACTCAGGTCACTTTCACCTGCCGGGCCCTACATGGCCTGTAGAGTTCCCAAATATTCCTTTGTACAGGAATCCCCCAGGGGCCCTGGCAGAAAAATGCAAATTGATGAGCCCCTCCCTGGATTCTGGTTTAGGAGGTCAGGGTGAGGCTCTGGAATCTACATTTTTATCCGGTACACAAGAGGGATTCTGCTGTAGGGGATCTGGCACGGCTCTTAGCACAGCCCTGGTCGGCTGGCCCAGGGCCACCATTCCGGCTTCTAAGTTCAAAAATCTGCGCCTTCGTCAGCAGGGCCCAGACCTGCATCAGGAAAAATGAGAAGCCCAGGAAAGTCGAGCCCGCTCACGTTTCTCCGCAGGACTGCTGAGTTCTGCGAGATGAGAAGCAGCAGCGAGTGGACGGCAGCAAGGCCTGCGCGTGCCTGAGGGTCGCCTTGGGAACCAGGCTACGTGACAGCCGGAGCTGGCTTCCACGCTGGGAACCGCACAGCCATGATTCCGAGTTCCTGTTCTCTCTCCTCGTCGCCCTTAGAGACCAGCGCCCTCCTGGTCTACCCTTAAAGCACCCCAGGGAAGCCGGCTCTGGGCTTGGGGGAGGAAGTTGAGACCAGATACCAAAGTAGGCCTGAGTCCTGTGGGGACTTCACGCCCCGTAACGCCCCTGCCCCAAACTCACGAACTCCTCCAAATTAAAAACAGCCTTTTTTCTCATGACTCCTCTGTGTCAGATGCTCAAAAACCAAGTCTCAACATACTTTTAGTCCAGTTAGGAAACTTTACAACACCTTTTTTTTTTTCTTTAACCCAAATATGAAATCCAAGCACTTTTAAAAGGTGTTTAAAGTTCCTGTTAAATTTCACCAAGGGGCGCTTCCTTCTTGACGAATTCCAGATCAGAGCCATCGGCTGGGATCTGCATCCTCACTGGGGTGAGAGCGTCCCTCAGCCATTCCTCTTGAGCCTTTCCTGTGACCATCTCAGGAAAACAGTTGCAAAATATAAGTTAAATGCAGTCACACTGGGTAAGAGTGAGTCCTAAACCCACTCATTAATGTCCTTAAAGGAGAGGAAAAGTGTCCCAAAGGAAAATGCCGGGTGAAGTCACAGATACACAAGGAAGAAGCTGTGGATCACCATTGACCCCAGAAGCTGGAAAGAGGGGAGGAAAGACCCCTCCCTAGAGCTGCAGAGAGAGCAGCCCCTGCAGGACCTGTTTCCGCCTGCCCCTCACACCCTCAGAGAATGCATTTCGATTGTTCTAAGCTACCTCCTCTGTGCGAATGTTAGAGCAACCCCAGGAAACTAATGCACTCCTCAAGAGGACCCTTTCTTCGTGAAAGAAGGCTCAGACTCTGCTGGTTCTCATAGAGATTGGACAGGATAGTTAAACTAACTTGCCCAGGCTGGCCTTGAGCTTGGATCCTCCTGCCTCAGCCTGCAGAGAACCTGGGATTGTAAGCATGGGCCACTGCTCCCAGCACTCTCCTTTTGACAAGAGCATTCCAACTTCCTTTAGAGCTTCTCTCTTCCAACTGTGTGCAGTTTGGGGGGAACTATTAAAGTTCCTTGGCCAAACTTTGTCACTTGGACTCTCACCAGGGCTTTGTCCAGAGCACAGGGAGGCCAGAGGGAAAGCAGGATGCCTCTTACCACCTGCAGAGCCCTTAAGGGACTGTGCACCAAGACTGCACACACTCCTCCACCGTCTGAAAGGCCTTCCCTTCTGCCAGAGTTGGCCAGGAGCAGTTTTTATTCCCTGCAACCAAAAACCACAATGGAGACGCTTGCCTGGCCCCAGCCCACTCTAAACCCTTCCAACCTCCGCATTACACTTCTAATGCAGACGTGCTGCTAAAAAGACAGTCCCCATGTCTTCCACTGTTCTCTGGAGCCAGTTCCTTCGTGAATATAAATTCATTTCAGGAATCAAAACAGTGCTAGATAAAACTTCTGTACTCTGAACAACCACCATTAAGTATTTCTTTCTCCCAGACAAAGCGCATGAGAGAAACAGCTGCGTGTTCCTTCTCACCCTTTGTGCTTTTTGGTTTAGGGTAAAGTGGCCGTGTCAGTTTGCCTTGGAGAGTATACTCTTCTCTCTGGTTTCAGTGTTGTGGATCTTTGGTTTCTATTTCCAACGTTTGCTATAAGATCTCTCACATCTCTTGTGGAAATAAGTGAGGTGTAAATTACAAATAACTAATACACATGGAGATCACATGGTCTTCCTAAGTCTTATCAAGTGAGATCCATAATCGATACCCAGGTAGGTTCCAGAAGCATTCGGTCCACTCCTTGGCTCCAGTTGGATTGGGATTGGGAAGAAGTTGTATCAGCAGATGCAACACGGCCCACCCTCTCTCCCTGAACTCTCCATCCTGTTATCCCAAACTGACATCATCGACACCCTCCAGGACCTGCCTTAGACCCCTGAAACCTGACCTCCATGTGTTCAGCAGCTTTCGAAGAGCAAACTGGGCAAATTCCTAAGCCCACAGTCAGATATCCCTGGAGCAGAAGGTCATGCCACACCCTCGCCTCTTGCCTCTTGACAGAAACTGGTGAAAAGCACAAGTCCCCCAGGTCTCTTCTGGTTTCCTTTTCATAGTTTTCTGTCACCTGAAAGAGCTGCCCATCAGGAAGGTATTTCCTTGGGTTACCATTTAGCCAGAGAACAGCCATCTTGGTCTCCAATCCCAGGGCTTAAAAATAACACCAATACCAACTTCTCTCAAATCTGAGAAGTTATTGTACCAACTTGAATAAGCCAGTTACTCCCTTTGTGCCTTGGGGAAAAGAAAAAAAAAAAGAACCACAAAACACAGCCAGGACTCACTATAAACCAGACCATGGGACTGAAAAGATATTTTCCCCGGTCAGATGAAAGATGGTATATAAATGCAAACAGCTCTGTGTACATTATTAAATTTCTATTGCACTTGGTTTGTTAGTGACATTTTGACTGCTTCCTCTGTGTAATTCTCATAACTCCACCTGCCTGACATTTCCTTCCTTTCTCAGGCGCAAGCAGAGCAGGTCCCGTTTTGTGGGACAGAGGTCACCCTGTAGAATTCCAGGGACACATTCCAGAGAAGGCCCTGCTGCCAAGGCAAGGAGAGCAGGAAATCTCAAAAGCACACAGACAGCTCAGCTTCACCGCCCCGGGGCTGGACCCTCAGGCACTGCCCACTGCTCCAGGAAGCACAGAGAAAATTCCTCCCAAAAAAGAAAAAGAATTCCCAATCCTTTTACCTCCTTTTGGCCCTCGGGGGTAGAAACTCATTGAATACTCTTCCGCATATGAGTGGGCACTCAGAGAAAAATCACAAAGATTGAGAGCTTTGTACAAAAGAAACACAGAGTGCAGTGTGGACACTGGGAAGGGGAAAACGGGACACCAAAAACAGAGTTGTATTTTTAAAAAAGAAAAGAAAAACACCATGACCGCAAAAGTGACCTCTGCCGAGCCAACTCTCATATCTGAGCTGTGTAAAATGGGAGCCAAAATGAATACCTCCTCTTCTAAGCTTTATTATCTGAGGTATTTGCAACAGTAATGGAAAGCTAACACAGCCACCTTTGTTTGTGCGTGCATTTTTGTACTTTTTGTGGATTTTGTTGTTTAAAATAAAAGCATAGTGGCACTGTGTTGTCTAGCATTTCTAAATGCAAGTAGGTTCTGATGGTGTATTAGGGAAGTTTCATTCAGGCAGAGTTATAGTGCTGTTGTCACGTGTTTGCTGTTAATGAATCAACAATACATTTAAATAAGGTGTCTTTAAACAAACAACACACAAAATGTTGGCAAATACACTGTGATGAATAGTTTCTAGGAACTGAACCTTGTATTTCTCCTAGGGACAATGGCTTGGTATTTGCTAATTCAGTGTTCACAGCCACTTTATAGAACGTTGAATAATGACAATAGATTACAGTTATATGCACATAGATTCCAAGGGCTAGAGACTGTCTTTCTAGCTCAAAATTTGATTCCTATATGAGT